TTATCTCTCCTGGCAAACCCTAGGCCTGAGACTGTAGCCAAAGGCCCCGGAAGCTCTTCCTGTGCATCTCTCTGCACTGAAGTGGTTCTGCAGTTTTGTAACCCCAGCTGCAATGATCATCACCGTCATCAGGACTGGAAGTGGGAGCGTGGTGAGCCTCAGCCGCCTGTGTGGCTGGGACGGGAGACCCATAGGCAGATCGGGGAGGGTAGATGGGGCCCAGGGCTGCCCTGGGCTTCAGCGTCTCCTACTAGACAGACTCAGCCCAGCTATCCGGTCTCATTCCGTCTTAGAGGTGGGCAGCGAGCCGGGAGCAGTGAGGGAGCATATTCTGGGGTTGTCAGAGCTGCCACAGGACCGGCAGCTCCACGGCACAAGCACAATTCTCCCCAGAGCCACCGAGTAGATGCGAGCAAAGCAGTGGCCTTCTAGAGCCTCCTTCTCCCTCCTGAAAAATGGAAACAAGGATAGCACGTTCTCCACTGGTGGAGAGCATTAGATGGGGCGCACAGCATGTAGCAGCCGTGCCTTGCCTTCCAGCCATGACTGAGGAAACCACAACCTGACTCCTTCTGGGATGGAGTGTAATGCCACTAAGAAGTCTCGCAAATCCAAGAAAAGCAGGGTCAAGACCCAGGAGAGATTTGCCAAGAAGTTTCCGTACAGGTACACGATTCCCAGACCCCTAGGTGGAGCTCTCCAGCCCACCAAGCCCAAGAGCCCCAGAAAGCACTGTGGAGAGCTGGGGGGGGAGGGGGGGAAAGGTCCTCTGGCCTACTGGAGTCCCTGAGAAACCTCACGCTGTACTGCCAGTCTGAGGTCATACGTCCGCCCCAGCACAGCCCAGACCAAGGGCCTCAGGGTATTTGTAGAACCCTCAGAGTAGTGCCTGGCAGACACTGCTGATGAGCGACAGCTACTTTAAGTGACGTTTATAGGTTCTCCTGGCTAGCGGAGCACAGCTCTGAGTCTCCACCATCCTGGGAGAAGAAGAATGTCTCCCTGAAGGACCAGCTGCCCCTGCAGAAGAAGCTGGTGCCAACGAGGTCCATCCCAATTCCAAGGTAAGTACCAACACTAAGCAGTCGTGACCCAGAGGTGTGTGGTCACCCATGCAGATGGAGGGAACAGCTGACTCCTGGAAAGATCTGCCCACAGAAAAGAGGCTTACAGGTACCTACACTCCCTCCCAAGCAAACACTCAGAAAGCAGCCCCTGTGCACTGCAAGTCTGCACATGCACAGGCATGCTGCTGGCCGCTGCTCCATCTGCCCTGCACATAGCACGTCTGCGCACCCAGAGCCCCACGCCACCACCTCCCTCCCCGCTCCAGGCCCAGCTAATGCTGGCACCACAGGGGACTCTGGACCAAGGGCAGAGTCAGTATGACTGGCCTCTGGCCATTGTGCACCTCCACACTCCAGAACAAGACACCCTGAACACACCCACATGCGTGAACACAACACACAGCACACACTGGCACACGTGGCCCAGCCTGGTCTTGGTCCCCGTGGGAGCTGAGCCACGGAGAGAGGCATCAGAAAGCTCCCGTGTCCCCAAGTCCTAGACTTCATTTGGGCAAAACTAGAGCAGCTGAGAGTCCGGGTGAAGTCCAGTCCGGCCATGTGGGACTGAGGCAGGAGGGCAGAGGCTGGCCCCACACATGCTGAGCCATGTCTGGGCAAGCCGGGGGGATGGGGGGAGAGACCAAGTGCCCATCCCTCATCGCGAGGATGCTGTGTAGCCCCAAGCCTGGGCAGCAGAGTCCTGCAGAGAGCCGACTCCAGACAGAGCCAGGGGAAAACCCAAGCCGTTTGCTAGTGTGGTAAGGAGCCCCAGGGACGGTGGGCAGCAGCCAGGTTGGGCCATGAGAACCAGCCGGGGACAGGGCAGCAACGGGGTGGCTACAGAGGACAACTAGTCTAACTCCTGGCTAGAGGGGCAGGCAAACCCCAGAAGCTGGGAATGGGCCGGATCTGAAGGGGTCAGCAGGCCTCACAGCCCTCCAGCTCTGACACTCTGCTCAGTGCCTCTTCCTTGGGGGCCCTGGGCGGGCTGAAACGGTCAGCAAGAGGCTGGGGCCGGGGAGACCAGGGCTCCGTGAAGGGGGAAGCCCCGTGGAGGACAGCGGAGGGGCAGCTCTGAGACAGGCAAGCCTGCGCCGTCTCTGAAGACGCTAGATGCCAAAATGTCTCTGTACTGAGCTCTTAGAGAAGATACCTTAGAAGGGCAGGTGCTCTATGGGCCAGGGCAGGGCAGGGTGGTCTTGGTGTAGAGGAGGGGGGAGTCTCAATTGGGAGTTGAGGGGGGGAGGTAGGAGAGGCAGTCTCATGTGGCCTGAACAGACATGGTAGCTCGAGCTGTACCCCAGCAGTCACTGAAACCTCGCGAGTGGATGTAGGACTCAGAGTTTGCCCCTGCGCCCCCTCCCCCCCCCCCCCCCCCCCCCCGGCAAGGCCCACGGGGCACTGGGGACGGGCGGGGCTCCAGATGGGATGTAGGTGGCAGGAAGCCATAGCGGGAGGCAAGCACAGGTGTCCCCCAGGAGGGAGCAGCAGAGGCTGGGAGTGGATGCAATGAGAACCCTCCCCAGTGGCCAGCGGGGCCCACTCAGACCAGGTGTGGCTCTGTGTGGCTTCTCTAGAGTCGGGGCTCCAAGTTTAACACCATCCAACAACAGCCCGTCACCCCGATCCTTCAATGCCTCGGAACTCAAGTCACAGATCCTCCGCTCCCCCAAACCAAGTGATACCTTCCAAAGGCCAGTGCTGACCAGCGAGACCCCGGGGCCATCCGGGGTGGTCTCCTAAACCCCTGCTCCCCGGGGCTCCCTTATGGCCTTCCTCTGCGGCTCTGGGCTGCAGCCACAGAGACCTTAGTGACTCGGGAGCTGCCGCATCACCCGAGACCATGCCCTGCTAATAAACTCACCAGGTGCAAACTCTGCTCTCCTGTGGACTAACTTACCAGGTTCAAATCCTGTTCTGCCTTGGACTCCTCACCTCTCCTGCCTGAGCTGCTAAAGATGAATGCAAAGCAGGTGTGGCATGGTGTGAAGATGAGCCGGAGGACACCGGGTGCGCCTGCCTTCCCAGCGCGGCGGGGGAAGGCCGGCTTGTAGAGAGCTCAGGCCAGGGTCCAGGTTCAGTCACCGTCAAAACGTGCGTGGCTTGTAATGGGCAGTGTTCATATAAAGGAAGTGTGGAAACATCTGATCCCTGCTCCCGCCAGGAGTTTTCTTACACCTCGTGCCCTCAAGCCAAGTCCAGGAACCAGGTGTGGCAAAATTCCTCACAGAAAAGTCTGAAACAACCTCGTTTGACGGTAGACTGTGATGTGGTGACAGTCTATGCACACGATGCGCGCAGGGTCCCACACAGCACCCCAGCAGGTGCCTGGCGTCCAGGGGAGGCCCCCACATTGGGAGCACCACCACAGAGGAACCTGAGTCCACAGAGGGAGGGAAGGCTGTGGGCGGGCAGGCGGGCCACACCTTCTCAAGGTGACACCTGATCCGCCCTTCCCTGTGTCCCCTCAGAGGCCGGTGCTCAGGGTGGCAGGCGCCAGGGCACTCGCCCTGTCTCTGGTCAGTGTGAAGGCAAGCCGGGGAGGACATGTCATGGTGCCCACCCACAGTTAGGCTTGGCCATTTTCTGAGAAGTGAATGGCTCCGTCTTGTGGATCACGTGGAAGAAGGCCAGTCCTTGGGGAGGGAGAGCAAGACGGGCGCCTGGGTTCCTGGGGGCCCCAGGGCAGCCGTCCTACCAGCCTGCCTTCATCCTGCTGAAGCCTCTGTCACGGGCATCTCTGTCCTAATTCCAGAGCCATGGCATCACTTGCTGTCCCGGGGAGGTCATTGCCCTCAGTGCTCCTGACCACAGACCTCTTGTAGTGTGTGGTGAAGCGCGGTCTGGGCTGCCTTCACCCAGGGCCTTACTGAAGCCTGCTGAGTAGTCAGCTGACTGCCAGCATGCAGTTATGCTTGTGAGCGCTGGGATCCGTCCCCATCAATCAGACCTTAAAAACAAGCCTCTCGTGGCCCGCAACAAGGCCCCCAGAATGGAACTGAGAACACAGGACACAAACCAAACCTGTGCACCTGTGCCCCGACGCAAGCGCAGAGAATACGTTCCCGATGGCAGAGGGGCGCATTGTGTGCAGGCGTGTAACCCGGCCCCCAGCACCCCCTCGGTCAGTGCAGGAAATGGTTGCTGGGACCCCTCCCGTCACCCGACTGGGGAACCCTGGCTTTCCCACCATCTGAAGGCAGGGGTCAGCTCTGGCCACCTGTGAGCACACATGCGTGCATGCGTATGCACGCACATGGGCACTGGCTAGAGAGGAAACTGGACAGGACAGCCAGAGGGGGAGGCGAGGGAGGAGGAGCCGCCTCAACCGCCTCGCAGGCTGGACGGGCCGTGGACAGGGCAGCTGTGGGCGGGGCACTGCGCAGGCGCCCGCGTCTGGGGCGGGGCAGGAAGAGCACGTGGCCCCGGGGCGAGCCCTCCCGGCTGGGCATCAGGCTTAGCCAACGGGTGGCGTCTGGCTGGGCGGAGCCGAGTGGGCTGGGAGCCCCGCGCCCGCCCCCTCGGCCTGGGAAGGGCGCCGGAGGAGGGCGGGCCGGGGATCACGGGAAAGGCACGGGCCCGGCTCCTCCCGCGTGCGCCCCGCCCGCGTGCGGCCCGGGCCTTGGCACGGCGCAGCCTCTCAGAGGTGCCTCCGCCACCCCCACCCCATCCCCGCTGGGGTCCGCCTTCTTCTGTCAAGCTGGTCCCAACCAATCGTGGCGGGGCCGAGGGCTCCCCGCGATGGACCTCACCAAGAGTTCTAGGGTCGCCTCCCGTGGCCCCAGTGCCCAAGGCCAGGACGCTGCGAAGGGCTCGTGCCGCTGGGGCGGCGCCGCGGGGGCCGGGGCGGCCCGGAGCGCAGGAGGCGGAGCACGCGGAGCCCGAGTGAGCCCTCACGCGTTTATTTAGCGCGCGTGGGGCGCCGGCCCCGGGCTAACGGGGCCGCAGGTACGGGGGCGCCGAGTAGTTGAAGAGCACGAAGTCCAACTTGTAGAGGTCGAAGAGGCGCCGCTGGTAGAAGGGGCTGATGTCCCGGAAGAGGCGCGCGGCCTGCTCGCGCGCGGGCGCCGCGCGGGGCCGCGGGGCGGCCGGGAAGCGCAGGCCCGGCGCGCCCAGCAGCCCCAGCAGGAAGTCGGCGTCCTGGGCCAGCGTCTCGAACCGGCCCACCACGTCGTAGCGCAGGCGGCACGGGTGGCAGAGCGCGTGCGCGCGCTCCCAGTGCTCGTTGAAGGGCTCGTCGCGGCGCGTGCGCGGGTCCAGCAGGTAGGCCAGGAACTCGGCGAAGCGCACGTCGTGGCCGCGGGCCAGCGCCTCGGGGTGCGCGCGCGGCCGCAGGCGCCGCACGATGCGCGTGCCGTAGCGGCGCCGGAAGGCCTCGCTGTAGGGCCGCGCGAACTTGTTGCGGTAGGCGGAGGCCAGGCGCTCGAAGGGCTCGCGCACAAACAGGAAGGCCAGGTAGTCGCGCAGGCGCTGGCGGATCTCGGCGGGGCGGAAGTCGGCCAGCGAGGGCAGGCGGCCCGGCGCGTGCGCCTCGCGCGCGGGGATGGCGCGGGGGTCGGCGCGGGCGTCGCCGCGGGCGCGGGCCCGCAGCGCCAGCAGCACGCGCTTCCAGTTGGTGCAGGCCACCTTGGGCACGTAGCAGTACAGCAGCCCGTGCGCGTCGTCCACCAGCACGTGCCGCAGCTCCTCGGGGCGCAGCGCGCGCGGCCGGCGCGAGTGGCGGCTGCAGGCCTGGCGCAGCAGGTCGCGCCGCTGCCGGTGCACCTCGGCCAGCGCGGAGCGCGGGGCCTGCGGACGACAGCGGAGGGGGGGGGGCGTGAGCGGCGCGGGGCCTGCGGACGACAGCGGAGGGGGGGGGGCATGAGCAGCGCGGGGCCTGCGGAGGACGGGGGGGGGGGCGTGAGCGGCGCGGGGCCTGCGGAGGACGGGGGGGGGGCGTGAGCGGCGCGGGGCCTGCGGAGGACGGGGGGGGGGGCGTGAGCGGCGCGGGGCCTGCGGACGACAGCGGAGGGGGGGGGGGCGTGAGCGGCGCGGGGCCTGCGGACGACAGCGGGGGGGGGGGTGGGGCGTGAGCGGCGCGGGGCCTGCGGAGGACGGGGGGGGGGGGGGCGTGAGCGGCGCGGGGCCTGCGGAGGACGGGGGGGGGGGGGCGTGAGCGGCGCGGGGCCTGCGGAGGACAGCTGTGGGGAGCCCGCTTCTCCCCGCCGCCACCCGCATCGAACCCCAGAACCGCCGCCAGCCGCCGCGTGCTTGGGGACTCAGGGTCTGCGCTGGACTCGGACTTGGGGAAAATGGAGACTGCGCTGAGGGCCGCCGTGCTGGGCCCCGTGGGCACGACGAGGGGCACCGAGGACGGACGGTGCCGGCGCCCAGCAAGGGCTGGCGGCCGGTGACGTCGGGCGAGGTGTGACGTTAGCGCGCTGCCGGGCAGGCTGGCCCGGGCCTCGCGGAGTACGACTGGCCGACTCTGCTGGGTTCCTTTAGGCTGTGCCTCACCTTTCCCCCTAAATTATAGTTGGTGGTGGGAATCCGGCCCTCCCCTGGGGGTGTCCTCCCCTGGGGGTGTCCTCCCCTGAGGCGTGTCCTCCCCTGGGGGTGTCCTCCCCTGGGTGGGGGTGTCCTCCCCTGGGTGGGGGTGTCCTCCCCTGGGTGGGGGTGTCCTCCCCTGGGTAGGGTGTCCTCCCCTGGGTGGGGTGCCCTCCCCTGTGGGTGTCCTCCCCTGGGGGGTGTCCTCCCCTGGGGGTGTCCTCCCCTGGGCGGGGTGTCCTCCCCTGGGCGGGGTGTCCTCCCCTGGGGGTGTCCTCCCCTGGGCGGGTTTCCTCCCCTGGGGGGTGCCCTCCCCTGGGGGTTTCCTCCCCTGGGGGTGTCCTCCCCTGGGCGGGGTGTCCTCCCCTGGGTGGGGTATCATCCCATGGGGGTGCCCTCCCCTGGGTGGGGTGTCTCCCATGGGGGTGCCCTCCCCTAGGCGGGGTGTCTCCCCTGGGCGGGGTGTCCTCCTCTGTGCGGGGAGTCCTCCCTTGTGCGGGGTGCCCTTCCCTGGGCGGGGTGCCCTCCCCTGGGTGTGCCACGTGCCGCTGCGCTGCGCTCGTGAGTGTCGAAGGCCTTGGCAGGGTGAAGGAGGCCTTTTGTGTACACTGGCCGGACTAGGGGATCTGTACAGACAAAGCGTTGGCATGTGGCAGGGATGGGAAGGGCAGGCGTCTGCTGCTAAGAGTCATGAAGAAGAACAGGCCAGAGTAGACTCCAGTGCGTTATCCTCACTTCCCACTTTCCCAGCTCAGGGAGCCAGCGCGGCTGGAATGGAGCCCGTGACCCCACCTGCCTGAGTGAGACCGAGCAGGGCCCTAGAAATGAGGGGCAGGCGTCCCGTGGGATGCAGTTGGCCCCTGGCTCATGGCGGTTTGACCCCTGGTTTGATTTTCCTCTACAGTGATGGGAAAGTCCTGAGCCTTCTGTAGAGAGCAATTGAATCCAGGCCTAATCAGTCTGGATTCTCCCTCCTCAGGCCAGGCAGCCTAGGCCGCGGGGAGATGACCCTGCACTAGGGTGTGCTGTGGGCTGAGCTGGGAGCAGCCGTTAGGGAAGGTGGAAATAATGAGTGAATGCCGGCTGAGTGGGCAGAGGCCCCAGCACTTGTCTAGGCACACTCTGGACAGCCACCTCACCTGGGAGGGGGGTGCAGCCCCACTCCAGCAGGTGCATTCTGCTCACCTACCTGGTCCAGCTCGTAGAGCAGCTGCCGAGGACTCTTCCCAGCATGCCACCGGCCGGGGCCCAGGGCCCTGTCTGCAGACGCTGTGGGGCACAGGACACCCGTGTCACTGAGGGCGGCATGGAGCCGGCCTGGGTGCAGTGGGGAGGTTAGCCACCCGCCTAGGGTCTGCTCACAAACACCTGGACTCAGTATACTTCTCCCCTTGGCCTCTCCAGCCCCTGGGGGCTTGGTAGCATGCACAGGGAATTGGTCAGCCAGGACAGTGACCTGGGGGTCATCTGGCCCTGTGAACTGCCCACCAAAGTTGGAGTGTGCCAGGCAGGAGAGAAGGTGGCACCCAGCCCTCTAGTAGGCTGGGAAGGCCTGACCGCCAGCCTCACCCGCTACCCTCTGCCTGCCCCTCCCAGCTCAGCCCATCTGTCAGCACCCAGCTCTGGTGTGGGCAGCAGTGGCGTGGCGCAGCCCAGCGCAGCTCTTGAGTGTTAGGAACCCCCCATGGACACCTGAGGAAGCCTGTAGCTGCCTGCGGTGCATGGGCTGCCCCACGTTGTACATTGACCTGGTGCTGGAACTGAGACCCTGCATCTCTAAAGCTGTGGAGCTGATGGCCTGGTCTGGTCTGGGGCAACCTGCTGCACTAGCTCAGCACCAACAGGCAGTGCAGGACATGTGCCAATAAGAGGCTTGCCGGAGGAGTGAATGGCACTGCGGGACCCTTGCTCTGACCTCTAGATGCCTGCTGTGGACACCGGAAGTGCACCGCCCCCTCTGCCAGCCTCCGGTCCCCTCCCTCCACAGCCCAGGCTGTGTCCTGGGCAAAGGTCATGTTTCCTCTGGCCAGGCCTGCCTGTGCCTCCTGCTGCCTTCCCCAAGCCCACACATGTCCCCACCAGGCTGCAGGCGCTGGCAGGAGAGGGCAGCAACACTGGCTGTCCCTTCCAAGTGCAGGGCAGCTCCAGCCAGGGGCGGGAGGGGTGTGTGGGGCTGGCCACTGCCGCTGCCCTGAGTGTGGCAACAGCCACCATGAGTCGAGCCGGGAGGCCCCACGCGAAGGCGGCGCCTCTCACTGCTGCCCGGCTTGGAGAGGACGAGGGTCGCTCTTGGCATTTTCTGGCTGCGGTTTCCCAGTGATATGGTATCATGGTGGCTCGGCTGGTGTCCAAGGAAAGGCAGCTGGGCACCAGGTGTATGAGGATAGGAAGAGCCCCCGGGAATGCCTCCCTGGCCTGTGGGAAAAAGGGTCCTGAAATCCCCCCAGGGGCCCAAATATCGGTGGCCACTGGTTACCGGGCTGAGCTTCCTGGCAGGATGGGCAGACAGCCCTGGGCGGTCACGAGCCGAGGGGTGCAAAGGAGGCCCTGGAAATCTCCGGGTCCACTGGGGGCACAGCTGGGGCTCGCGCCGCTCAGGCCACTGTGGCATCAGCAGCTGCCCCCGCAGTGCCCCAGGCCTCTGCCCGGGCTTCAGACTGGGCTGCGCGCCAGGCCCCGGCCGAGGAGGACCGCAGAGCGGGCTCGGGTGATCCGCTCGGCTCTGAGGAGAGACACCGCTGGGAGGTCGCGGGAGGAAGGAGGGAGGTGACAGGCGCGGAGCCCTCCGGAAGGACAGAGCGCAGCCGGCAGCAGAGGAAGACGGCCGCGCTCCCCATCCAGCGCGGGGGACGGGGTGGACTGCGCCCCGCCGGGCGGGCGTGGGGCTTTGCCCAAGTCTTGGATGGCCGCGCAGCGCGTGCCGGGTGCCCTGACGGCGCCATTGCACCCGTGTGTCTCCGCACGGTGGGGTGAGGAGGCCAGGGCGCCTCCAGCGTCTGCAGACTGACCCCGGGCCGGGCGGCGCGTCGTCCTCAGGGGCTGCGGCTCGGAGGGGCGGCAGGCGCGGCCGCGGACAAGGGAGGCGCCCGGCGGCCACGGGCAGCCCGCGTCCACCGGAGGCGCAGGAGCCGCGCGCGCCCCGCCCGCCGCGTGAGGAGCCGCGTGAGGAGCCGCGTGTGCCCGCCTTCCACGTGAGGAGCCACGTGTGCCCGCCGCGTGAGGAGCCGCGTGTGCCCGCCTTCCACGTGAGGAGCCGCGTGTGCCCGCCTTCCACGTGAGGAGCCACGCCCCCTTCCGTGTGAGGAGCCACGCGTGTCCCCTGCCCACCGCGTGAGGAGCCGCGTGTGCCCGCCGCGTGAGGAGCCGCGTGTGCCCGCCTTCCACGTGAGGAGCCACGTGTGCCCCCCCTTCCGTGTGAGGAGCCACGCGTGTCCCCTGCCCACCGCGTGAGGAGCCACGTGTGCCCCCCCTTCCGCGTGAGGAGCCACGCGGTGTGTCCCTCCCCGCCGCCCTCTGCGTGAGGAGCCACGTGTGTCCCCTGCCCGCCGCCCTCCGCGTGAGGAGCCACGCCCCCCCTTCCGCGTGAGGAGCCACGCCCCCCGCCGCCCTCCGCGTGAGCCGTGCGGACGCTGCGCCCTGGGGCTGTTGGGCCCTGCCCTGCCCCCCACAGGCTCTGCTGGGACACCCGCACCCCCTGCGTTCTCCACGATCAGCCCAAGAGAGGGGCGCACCAGACAAGCCCCTCACTCTGCCTCTTCCTTTGCGCCGACGCCATGGCTCCCTCCGCGTCTCAACGGGAGCGGCAGCATCGGGACGGGAAGCGACCCGCCCGGCCGTGCAGGCCGCTCCGCCCGCCCCAGGCAGCCCTGTGGGTCTTCCCGCTCCGCCCGCCCCAGGCAGCCCTGTGGGTCTTCCCGCTCCGCCGGCCCCAGGCAGCCCTGTGGGTCTTCCCGCTCCGCCGCCCCAGGCAGCCCTGTGGGTCTTCCCGCTCCGCCGCCCACTCCAGGCAGCCCTGTGGGTCTTCCCGCTCCGCCCGCCCCAGGCAGCCCTGTGGGTCTTCCCGCTCCGCCGCCCACCCCGGGCAGCCCTGTGGGTCTTCCCGCTCCGCCGACCACCCCAGGCAGCCCTGTGGGTCTTCCCGCTCCGCCCACCCCAGGCAGCCCTGTGGGTCTTCCCGCTCCGCCCACCCCAGGCAGCCCTGTGGGTCTTCCCGCTCCGCCCGCCCCAGGCAGCCCTGTGGGTCTTCCCGCTCCGCCGTGGCCGCGAGCCGACTGTCTGGACTCAGTTCCTTCCCAGGGCCCGGCAGCACCGCTGCGCCCAGCTCAGGAACCTCACTCCGCCGCAGCCTCCACGCAGGCGGACCGTGAGGGTGGAGCTGCCCCAGGGGCTCGGGCTGAGGGCGGGGTGCTGGGGACCACAGTGCCCTGGACAGCCCTTCCCCCTCTGCTGCCCCGGGCTCTGGGTCAGGACGGGTGGTCAGTCATGGAGGACGGGCTAGGGTGACACCCCACTGACAGGCCTCCCGGCCTGCACAGCCAGTGGGGCCCTCCCTGTGCCCCCCCAACTTGCCTCCTGCCAGACAGACACTGCACAGCCAGTGGGCCCCTCCCTGTGCCCCCCAGCCTCCTGCCAGACAGACACCGCACAGCCAGTGGGCCCCTCCCTGTGCCCCCCAGCCTCCTGCCTAGAGAGACGCTCTGACACTACTGTCCTGATCTGCGAAAGGGAGGGACAAAGCCTAACGTGCTTGCCTGGATGAGGGTTTGAGACTCCCAAGCTCAGCCTTCCTACCCAGAGAACCTTTGGCCCTCACAGTACAGAGCACACCTGCCCTCCCTCCCCCTCACAGTGCAGAGCACACCTGCCCTCCCTCCCCCTCACAGTACAGAGCACACCTGCCGCCCTCCCCCTCACAGTACAGAGCACACCTGCCGCCCTCCCCCTCACAGTACAGAGCACACCTGCCGCCCTCCCCCTCACAGTACAGAGCACACCTGCCGCCCTCCCCCTCACAGTACAGAGCACACCTGCCCTCCCTCCCCCTCACAGTGCAGAGCACACCTGCCCTCCCTTCCCCTCACAGTGCAGAGCACACCTGCCGCCCTCCTCCTCACAGTACAGAGCACACCTGCCGCCCTCCCCCTCACAGTGCAGAGCACACCTGCCCTCCCTTCCCCTCACAGTGCAGAGCACACCTGCCGCCCTCCTCCTCACAGTACAGAGCACACCTGCCGCCCTCCCCCTCACAGTACAGAGCACACCTGCCGCCCTCTCCTTCACAGTGCAGAGCACACCTGCCCTCCCTTCCCCTCACAGTGCAGAGCACACCTGCCGCCCTCCTCCTCACAGTACAGAGCACACCTGCCGCCCTCTCCTTCACAGTGCAGAGCACACCTGCCCTCCCTCCCCCTCACAGTGCAGAGCACACCTGCCCTCCCTCCCCCTCACAGTACAGAGCACACCTGCCGCCCTCCCCACTCAGGCGCTGTGGCAGGGACACTGAAGGCCCCACATGGCCCCACAGTGAGACCGGGCGGCAGGGCAGCCGAGCAGGAAGAGGCCTTTCCAGAAGCTGTCCTCCCTCCCAGGGCCCTGCAGGCCCCATTAGCCAGCCCCTGTCCTATGAGGTCAGGAGTTCGAGCTCACGGTCTGCGAGTTGGGGCATGTAGAGCAGGCGGGTGAACCCTGGCTCACCCACGGGTTCCCCAAAAGATGACCCCTTCCCCAGCCACAGCGAGGCCCCCGAGGGCCCGGCCTCAGGGACTGTCAGCTCGGTGCCCTGCCCCGGCTCAGGGCTCAGCAGACATCTAACTAGTGAATGACAGGGTGATGCGCACTAGGACAGCCTCAGAGCCCGCACGGGCTGGCAAGAGCGGCTGCAGCCCCTGCGCGGGCGGAGGCAGGTGCTGTGGCAGAGTCTCCCTGGCCTCTCCCAGCTGGACCCCAGGCGAACTCCAGCCTCCATCCCCGGGGATGGAGGGAGGGAGGGGAGAAAACCACCCTGGGGCGGGGCGCCCCATGGCCCAGCCAGCAGGATGGAGAGGCTGCTTCCTGTCGCTTTCTGGCTTCCTAAAGTCTAAGAAGGAAGGATTTTCCGTCCCATCTTACAGATGGGACCACTGAGGCCACCGAGTGCAGAAGCGGCCCCGCAGCAGGCGAGGCTGGCAGAGCGGCCTGCAGCCTGGACCCCAGACCCCTGGGTAGGCGCCCTGAGAACAGCTGGTGTCTTAGGTCGGCGCCGACCCACTGCCCTGCGGCGCCTCTCATCCAGGGGTGTGCGTGCGTGCGGCTCCAACAACTCCTGGGGGTCCTCAGAGTCCACGTTGAGGGAAAAGGAAGGAAAGATAGACGGCCAAGACGGGTCGCCGGCCATCACCCTGCGCCCTCCACCTCCCACCTGTTTCCGCGTTCGCGGGGTGGGCGGCCCCGGCTCCCCGCCGCGGCCTGTGGTCCATGGGGCCAGCCGCCCTCCGTGGGGACTTGGCGGCAGCGGGGTTCCAGGGCGCACGGCCCCTACAGATGGACGCCAGGTGGACTGAAGCGTCCCCTCCCGCCTGTCCCCGGAGCGCTGCGGACGCTGCACCGAGCGGTTCCCGGGGCCAGCGGAGGAGCCCTGCGGGGGCAGGCCGGCCACCGAGAGCCTCTCTGGCCCCACCAGGGACCTCGCCTGCGGGGAGGAGCCGGTGTGCGCGCAGCCCCGGAGGGATCGATTGCTGCCAGGGAGGCCGGCACCGGGGTGGGGGCCGAGGCGGGCGGAGCCGGCCGCACTTACCCCGACGCGGGGCGCGGGGCCCCGTGCACAGGAGCAGGAGCGTGGCGCACAGACACGCGGCCGCCAGCGCGCGCCGCCTCCCGCAGCAGCGTCTCCCCATGCTGTGCCTGCGAGCCGCCGGCGGGCCGGGCGCACCGGGCCTGGGCCAGCAGGGGTGCAGGGCCAGGCCACGCCCCGAGGCCACGCCCCCGCCACAGGCCACGCCCACCTGCCTTGCTCGGGCCCCCAGCGCAGAGGACGAAGGGCAAGGGACCCAGAGGTTGGCCCACCGGCCCCTCCTGTTACCCCTGGCTGGGGTCCTGCTCAGAAGAGAAATCCTGAGTAGCTAGAAGCGCTTCCAGCCTCGAAGCCCAGGTCCCTAGGCAGCACTCAAGGCCCCGAGTCAGGACTGCGACCCAGAGGCTCTGCGCACCCCGAGAACCGGGGCCGCTCCAGGCTGCAGCAGCCCGACAGGCCCTCGGGGTGGCGGTCCGGCGCTCGGGGCTTCAGCTACAGCAGCTTGGCAAATCACCGGAGCCGTGTTGGACTTCTGAGCAGGGCAGACGCAGGCCGTCGCAGCCCCCGAGCCCCTCAGCCCCGCTGGGCTCCGACCCCGCGGGACGGCTGCTGGGCAACATCCCCGGAGCCCCTGCACCAACCAGGCCCACGCACCCCAGCTCTGGCTCTTTAGGACCTTTCTTATCTCTCCACCCTCCTCGGCTCTGCCTCCCTCTCCCGCCATCTCTATCCTGGAGAATCATCTAAAACTTGAGCTGCCACCTCTACTCGGCCACTTCCCCCATCTCTGTGTTACCACCTGAAGTGGGCAAGAGAAGCCTTTTACCCCGACTACACCACCAGGAGGGCATGGCAAGGGTGTCTGCACCAATCACAGCAGACTTCCATGTAAATGAAGTGCTGTATCTACACCAATCACAGCAGCACTCCATGCAAATGATGCACCAATCACATGTCTTTTGCTGGACCCCTCTGGCTGGGATGGCAATGGAGGCAGGGTCCTCCAGGCGGCCTGCAGTGGGTGGTGGTGGAAAAGGCAGAGCTGAGCTGTTGGAAACGGCCGTGGCTGGGACAGTGCTTGCTGCGCTTCGGCAGCGAGCAGCTGTGGTTGCCGCGCAGCCTCCTCGGGGTCTCTGGAGGTTCGGGGAGGCCCGGCCGCGGTGAGGCGTCCACCGCGGGGCGCCGGGCCTCAGTCCTCCGCTGGAGGCAGCAGGAAAGGTCTAACTGCTGTCAGTGAGGGCACAAATCGCTGCCCTCACAGCTCAGCTTCTTTAAAGGAGAAATGAGCACTAAGTAGGGTGTCCACGATAACAGCCTTCCATGAATAGTCACAGGGATTGGACGTATTCCACTGCGCTCCCTGCCCCCGTGCCCAGGGAGAAGCCAGGCAAGCCCTGCCAGCAGCGGGGGCGGGCCGTGGGTGCACCTGCTTCTCACACCATGCCCAGCTGGCAGAGCCCAGCTCGCTGGGTGGAGACCAGGTCGGGGCCCCTCTAGGGTGAGGGCCCACCCCCTGGAATTTGCTTCCACCAGAGGCCAAGGAGCACTGTCTCTGGCCACCGGAACAGAACGGAGCGGACACCTCCCAGTGTCTTTTGACTGCCCTAAGTGCTGGGGCCCAACGCCTGCTCTGGGGAGACCAGGAGCCCAGGTAGCAGCCCCTGTACAAACTCCTGGATTCCCACCACCCCTTAGGCTTGGGACGCAGGTCCACCCTGCAGCCTCGGCATTCTGCCCAAATCCCAGCTCACACGGGTCCTGTCCTGCTCCCAGGAGGAGAGGGGCTCAGGCGTGACCTCTGAGCACCAGGCCTGCTGTGGCCTCATCTCAGCCGCAGCTGCTCCGGGCACCAGACAGGCACTCAGGACTTACAGAAGACCATGGAGGAGAGGAGCAAGGGACCGTGAGAGCAGAGTCCAGGCTTTGGAGCATAAAGGGAGGATTGGGGTCTGGTGTGGTGGTTGAGTGTTTGCCTAACTGAGAAGCCATAAGTTTCATCCTAACAGTGAGCCACCATCACCAACAACAAAAGGATAAGCACAGCCAGCTAGGCCCCAGCCCAGAAGTTAGTCATTTGGGGCCCTACAAGTACACAGGGCTGTGGGTTTGAACCAGCACTTAGCAGTGAGTGTGTGATGTAAGGTATTGCTCTGAGCTCTTTTTTTAACTGCTCTTGGAAAATGTGGCCACCAAACCCTGCCAGTGCCCCCTACCTGCTGTATGAGGTTGAGAGTCGCCTAACCCCCTACACCCAGTCCTCTGTGAGGTGGAGTAACCCTAAACCTCACAGTGTGGTGATTAAATAACCCACAGGATGTTTGCAACAGTCTGGAGCTCGGTGATATCAGTAATTAATTTTATAGTTACTGCCTGATGAAACTAATTTTATCTCACAATTTCTTCCTAGTACCCAGCTATGTTTTGGAAGATGTATTTTGCTAGACACCAGTGGCTCACGCCTGTAACCCTAGTGACTACAGCTACTCGGGAGGAGCTAGTTCAAAGCCCAGACAGTAAAGTCCATGAGACTCCTATCTCCAGTGAAACACCACAAAAGTCAGAAGTGGAGCTGTGGCTCAAGTAGTAGAGCTCTAGCCTTGAGCAAAAAAGCTCAAGGACAACGGGGCGCTGGTGGCTCATGCCTGTAATCCCAGCTACTCAGGAGGCTGAGATCTGAGGATCGCGGTTCAAAGCCAGCCCGGGCAGGAGAGACAGTGAGACTCTTATCTCCAATAAACCACCAGAAAACCGGAAGTGGCGCTGTAGCTCAAATGGTAGAGCGCTCGCCTTGAGCTGAAGAGCTGAGGGACAGCGCCCAGGCCCAGAGTTCAAGCCCCACGACCGACAAAAAAAACAAACAAAAAAGTTCAAGGACAGTGTTAGCACAAAAAAAATGATTTTTAAAAATGTATTTGAGGGAAAATACTAAGCAAATCATAGTCATCTGCCTGTAAGACTGCCTGACTGGCCACGGCAGTTCTCTCGCAGTGGGGGCAGGACCTGGGCTGCCCCCAGCCTGGCCCGGGACTGCCATCTGCATCGTCTGGCTACCCCAACTCTCCCCAGACCCACGTTCCTGAGCCAGCTCAGTCCCTTACTTTTCTGTGTCTTGGCCTCCTAGGCTGCCACTTGGTGACCAGAGTTGCAAACAGCATTTCAGCCCAGTCTCTTCCACTGATAGCCCTGGAGACAGAGTCCCTGGAGACCCACCAGGAAAGTCTGGGGGTTGGGGTAGGATGTGTGATGCCTAACTATAGCCCAGAGCCTCAGTAGCTAGTTGAGATGATTCTCTACCCTCTTGCAGGGACTCACATCCATTTGTTTGCCAGCTAACCCAACACCTGCTTTGCATGGAGCTCGCAGCTCCAGAAGCTCCAGGAGGGCAAACAAGGCTGACTCTATCCTTGTCCCAGGGGCTGGGGTTCTAGCTGAGGCAAAGGCAACAGGAGTCAAAGCTACATAGCACGTGTCATGTCACCATGGAGGGAGAAAGTGTGTTCAAGGGATGGGGGGCGCTGCAGGATGGAGGTGACCTCGGAGTGCAGAGGGAGAGGAGGCCGCTGCTCTCTGGGGAACACACAGTTCCGGCCCAGGAGCCGCCAGGGCAAAGGCCTGAGGGCATGAACGTGACTGGTGGTATTGCTGAGTCGCTGAACAAAACCCTGTGCATTGTGCTCTCAGCTCTGTGAGTCAGGACCTGGGGAGGACGGTGGCTACAGGCTTCTCACCCGGGGCTCGGTGAGGAAGCTGGCGTGGGAAGCATGCATGCCCACGCGCAGACCGCTCACCGCTGCTGAGGGAGGCCGCTGTCCTTGGAGCCTCAGGCACAGGCCTCGGGGGTGGGCTGTGCGGCCATATCTGACTGGCCTGGGGCCGCCTTGTGTTGGTTCCCAGAATCGCTGTGGAGATGTGCCGAAGACTGCAGGGACATGTTTTCCAACCACACCCAGGAGACCTGGGGTGGATGAGAGGGAAGGGGTAAGAGATGGACAGGAAGCCCAGCCCCCCAGAACTTGCCTGTGGCTAGATCTCTCTCTCCACAGGAAGTTGGCCGTGAGGCCAGCTGAGTGGGGGACCTTTGGCCTCTGTGAGAGCCCCTGCAATGTGGGCTTGTTTGCTAATTAAACAATTTATTTGAGGACAACTAGATTCATGTAAGAATCATACAGAGAAAGCCCATATACCCTTTGTCTAGTTTTCCCGATAGGGACATGTTAGAAAACTGTAATGCAGCGTCACGGTTGATATAAATATTGCCTATAAATCTGAACAATATTACAGTTTTTACTTGGTTGTAAACAGTTCTTAATTAGGAAAGTTCAGCCAAACACAACGGTTCATGCCTATAACATAGCTACTAAGGGTTCAGAGATCAGGAAGATCCATGGTTCAAGACCAGCCTAGGGAAAAAGAACCCCATCTCAAACAATAACAGCTTGGCAAGGTGGCATTGCATGTACCTGTCATCCCGGTTATGCAGGAAGCATAAATAAGAGGATGGTGATCCAGGCTGGCCTAGTCGTAAACATGAGACCCCGTTCAAGACATGCAAGCAAAGAGGGTTGTGATATGGCCGAAGTGCCTAGCATGTACACAAGGTCCTCAGTTCAAACTCCAACACTGCCAAGAAAAAGAAACTAGGAGAACTTACAAAACAGTTCTCTGGTTTCTGATGGATCAAATTATGGCTCTCCTCACTCTTTGAGGAGCTGTCTGTCAGGGGGAGAGGGAAGGGATGGGAAAGGGGAGTCCTCCTCTTGAGGAGGCCTGGGGAGAACCCCCATTAAGCAGGGACCACAGGCTGCCCCTCCCCCACAGGGGAGGAGACATAGGCCAGCACCGGCCCCACCCCCACAGGCGCCTGGTCCTTGAACTCAGGGAGCCTGGTGTTTATCCACCGAGCTGGCCCAGGGCTGCTTCTGCGGCAGGCGGGGCAGGCGGCCGGACAGTTCTCCAGGCCTCTCAGCCGGGCCTCTCCGTGGAAGAACAGGCTCTTTGGAACAGCAACGTCTGGTGCTGGCCGCTAGAGAGTCCTTAGGCCAAGGAGGAGGCCGGTCAGAGGGCTGCAGAAGGACTTCCCGCCTCTGTCTGCTCCCAGCTGGGCTGAGTGCGAGGAGGCACTGTCAGCTGTGCCCCAGAGCCCGGCGGCTGGAGGAGCAGTGGAAATGCAGGCGATTCCGCCTGCTGCCTTCCAAGCAGCACCTCGCGGGGCACCGCAGCCCCCAGTGTGAGAGGAGACGTCGCTCTTACACACACACATGCACACGCACACACACGCACACACACCACACAGCTGTGGCCTGCACTTATTCCCTCCTCGGGTTCCATTAATCTGCTGATGAACAGCTCAGCACCCAGGATACCATTTCACTTACATTTACAGAGTTGTTAGAAAGAAGATAGGTGGCAGTCAAAGGCCAGGGCAGGAGTGAGGGCTGGGAAGGGGTGAGGCCACCTCCTGGAACGAGGCCCCGATCCTCCCGCCCCACAGAGCCCACCCGTGCCGAGAGCTCTGCACCGGTGTCATCCGAGGCTTGTGAAGTGGGCTGATGAGAAGGGGGCCCCCAGCACCTCGGGGCTGATGGGAAGGGGGAGCCCCCCCCGGCACCTCGGGGCTGATGGGAAGGGGGCCCCCAGCACCTCGGGGCTGATGGGAAGGGGGAGCCCCCCCCGGCACCTCGGGGCTGATGGGAAGGGGGCCCCCAGCACCTCGGGGCTGATGGGAAGGGGTGAGACCCCCCCAGCACCTCGGGGCTGATGGGAAGGGGAGCCCCCCCCAGGCACCTCGGGGCTGATGGGAAGGGGGAGCCCCCCCTGGCACCTCGGGGCTGATGGGAAGGGTGAGACCCCCCCCACCGGCACCTCGGGGCTGATGGGAAGGGGTGAGATCCCCCCAGCATCTCGGCGCTGATGGGAAGGGGGAGCCCCCCTCCCGGCACCTTGGGGCTGATGGGAAGGGGAAGCCCCCCCCCCCCCCCCCGGCACCTCGGGGCTGATGGGAAGGGGGAGCCCCCCGGCACTGCGCTGGGAAGGGTGAGCACTTCACCTTCCGGCCCAGGCCCTGTGCGGGGTTACTGCCCCTGCACTCGCCACTGGCTGCCCCCCCCCCCCCCGCCTGCGGCTGGACGGGCAAAGGCCACCGGGCTGGCCAGGAGCCCAGCAGCACAGGCTGGGATTCCTGGCGGGAGCGAGACCGGCTTGGCTGGGTCTGTGAGGAGGGCTCCCCGCAGGCCCCGCCAGCGTGCCACCCTCACGGGCAGGGAAGAGGCCTTCACAGGACACTGGATAGGGGAGAGGTCCTACCTGTTCAGGACCACCGGAACACACGTTCCAGTCCTGCCGCCTGGTGTAACCCTCGCTCGAGACTGCCAGAATGAACCCCGGCCTCAGAGCCCACCTGCCCCCCATGCCCAATCCCAAAGAGGAAGTCCCTCAAGGCCACCCCATTTGAAAGGCACAGGAGGCCCATGCAGCCATCTCCCCAGCCCGGGCTGCCCTTCCCCAGGTCAGGACACCTGGCTGCCAGCCATCCAGGGCAGGAAGACCCGCCCCTGTGCCCGTCCTGGGCCCAATGAGGGGCTAGGGGAGGGGCTGGGGTGGGCCCCGCTGGTCCCACCCTGCTGGCTGCCAGCGCCCCCGCACCTCTGGTCTCTGCCTCCGAATCTACAGACAGAGATGTCCAGCCTCCAAGAGCTGTGCTCCGGCCTGCCCCTGCAGCCCCTCCCCGAGAACCGGGGCCGCCGGCCAGGGGTGCCTCACGCCCCAGTCAGGACCCCCGGGCTCAGCCCTGAGGAGGAACAGGTAATGCATCCGTCCTGATCTTCCCCAGCTCTTGGAGTGGTCTGGGTGGGCGGCCTCCTTCCAGCGCCCCCTGCCTCCAGGAGCTCAGAGCAGGGGCGCCCACGTCCACGCCATGCCAGGCCTGGTCATCCTTAGGGGCCAGCCAGGGCGGCCCTGGGGTTTGGAGCTGTGGTCCCCATGGACAGCTGAGGACGTGCAATCAAGGTCACCGGCCAGTACCTGGTGGCACTGTGGGAGGAGCAGGCGGGGTGTGAAGTGGCTGCCACCCAGACGGGTAAATGTGCACTTGGCCTGGCCCCAGACCCTGTGGCTGAGAGGGGCCAGCCTCCGGGTTCCAGGGCCTCAGACGGGCTATGGGGGCACCTTGTGGTTCAGATGGGGCTGTGGTGGGGCACTGTTGTGACTCCCATACCAGCGGGGTGGTGGGTGTTGCCCCAGGCTGTATCACTTCCCAAGCTGGGCACCAGGCAGGTGCAAAGTGCGTGCCACACTCTCTACCCACCATCCTAAGCGTCTGCATCTCCCCTGCCTAACCTGCCACAACCCTGAAGCCCCCGCGCCATCCAGTCCTTCCTTGGGGTCAAGCAGCTTGGTCCCTGGGCAGGCTTGGGCCGATGATGAGCCAGAAGAGAGAGGAGCTGGCCGGCCTCTGTGGAAGGAGGTGGCAGGGATGAAGGAGGGCTCCCCGCGGAGGGGTGGTGCGGGGCGCGGGCTGACGAGAGCCAGGAGGTCTCTGAGCACACCGACAGATTTCAGACTCGTCACGGGGCTGTCAGGCCCTGCATGGCGCCTGGGCCGCTGCCTCTCACCGCCCACTCTCCCCCCCGCACCCCCTCAGCTGGCGCTGCGGAACGCCCTGCGCTACTTCCCCCCCAGTGCCCAGGAGCTGCTGGCCCCCGAGTTCGCCCAGGAGCTGCGCCTGTACGGACACATCTACATGTACCGGCTCTGCCCCAGCATGGAGATGAAGTGAGTCAGGGCTGCGGGGGTCACAGCCAGGGCCACACGGGACGGGAGGTCATGGTAGGTGAGGAGAGGGGCTGGGTGGCATCCGTGTGCTGGGGGGCTGGAGCTGCCTGCACCCCTGTCCTGACCAGGAGATGGGGACCTGTCAGCTGAGCCGCCCTGGCCGGCCCCTCATCCTGGGCAACTGGGGAGCCAACTGCGTACAAAACCCTGTTGGGAAGCGGGGCCTTGCCCATGGCCGGAGGCCGGGCGGCGGGGCGGGAGGGGCGGCGTCTCAGCCTGGCACAGCAGCCTCCACAGGACGTGGCGGGCTGGCCTCGCCTGGGAATGCCAGCCCACGGCTCTGCGGAGGCTGGAGCCTGCGCTGGGGCGTCCGTCCCGGGAGCTGGGTGCTGCCTCCAGCCTCAGAAGCTGGGTCCCGCCAGACCAGTCCCCCAGAGCTGGCCACGCCCCTCGCTCTCAGTACCCGTGCTCGGAGCACCTCTGGTGCCCAGCAGTGTTGGATGGGTGAATGGAGGACACTGCCTGGGGCAGAGGCGTCAGCTCCTGCGGCTTTCTCCCTCGGAGTTCTTGTTGAGACAGGAGGAGGTTGGATAGGGTGGGTTGTGGGAACTCAGATCACCTAGGGCAGAGGGGCGGCCCTGGGGGATGGACCCCACGCGCATGCCTCACACTCCACATGCGCACCCCCAGGCGGGGCCCCAGGGAGGGCTGTGTGCCGGCTCTCACAGACTCGGCCGTGGCCAGGCAGGAAGGAGCGGGTGCCTCGCTTGGTCACGCCTGGTGCTGGCCCTCCCCTGGCTCTTGCAGGGCCTACCCCATCGACCAGTACCCCTGCCGGACCAAGGCCGCGGCTGCCATCATGCACATGATCATGAACAACTTGGACCCTGCCGTGGCCCAGGTAACAGCACTGCCCAGTAGAAACAGCACAGGACACATAGTTGAGGCTTTAAAGCATTTCGTGTAATTAGAGATCCTCCCGAGGCTAAGAGGTTAACCCAGGGCAGTCCCAGCCCTTCTCCCGGCTCCCCACAGTCTCAAATCCAGGGCTGTAAATGCCTCCATAACTCCAATTTACAAGAGCCGAAAGAACAAAAAGAAACAGTTACTATGTTTCATTTATCCCAATAGGTCCCAAGCCTTCTGTTGTTTTAACACTTAATAAAGTATTGCTGGCAAAGTGTGTTATATTCTTTTCATACTAAGTCTCTGAAATTGCAGTGTCTTTTACATAGGAGCATCGCTCCAAGGCCCCCCATGGCCCAAGACTGCTATATTGGATGCCATGGATCCCACACGAGTTCCCACAGCGGCTCCTCCTAGCCCCACTCCTGCCTGTCTGGGGCAGCTAGAGGATAGGCCCCGCCCAGTGCACTGCCCACCCCCGCCCCGCCCCCTCTCAGACCCACATCTCCCCCAGTTTCCACAGGAACTCGTGACCTATGGAGGAAACGGGCAGGTATTCAGCAACTGGGCTCAGGTACGTGCACTGGGATCCCACCTCCTCCCCGCCTGGGAAGGCCCGGAGCTCCCCACTCTGCCCCTGGGGCCTGGAGCTGTTGGGGGCATCTTAGCTATAACTGAAGACTCCACTCGGGGAGCCCCAGGGGGAAAGGCTACCCGGAGGGGCTGGGCCACGGGCCCTGGGTGGTCTGGGAGTCCCTGGAGTGCCCCCAACACTTACACGGCCCTGCGCGGTCCCTCCCTGCAGTTCTGGCTCACCATGTCCTACTTGTCGAAAATGACAGAGGAACAAACCCTAGTCATGTACAGTGGACACCCACTGGGCCTCTTCCCCAGCAGCCCTGGCGCCCCGAGGCTGGTCATCACCAACGGCATGGTAGGTGGGGGGGGGGGGGTGACGCTGCTGGGCGGGGGCTGGGCTGCGGGAGGGGGAGGAGGGAGGACGCTGTCTGTGGGCCCCCATTGTCTGTTCCTTTCCCAGGTCATTCCCAACTACTCCTCCAGGACAGAATACGAGAAACTCTTTGCCCTGGGCGTCACCATGTAAGTTGCTGCGTGCGGCTGGCTAGCACGGCCTTCCATCCATCACCACGCCGGCCGCCCTCAGCTCCGCACTCTTACACAGTCCTCCAGAGTCAGGCCACTGCAGACATAGCCCGGCCATGTCTTCCTTACGCGTTCTAGAGGTTTCCTGTAAATGTGTACGGACATGTACACAAAAGAACATAAAGTTGGGGTTCTGTATTTCTTCCGAGACTGCGTTATGAGCTAGCTCAGACATAGTCACAGGTGAATCCCTGAGTTCTCTTGGGTAGTGGGGAGTTCGTGTGGGCAGCCAGGCCTGGCACCGCTCAGCCCTCACTGTGCTCAGGTACGGGCAGATGACGGCGGGCAGCTACTGCTACATCGGCCCCCAGGGGATCGTCCACGGCACCGTGGTGAGAGAGGGGCCCCCAGAAGTGGGGTGGGCCTGCGAGGTGAGCGTGCGGGCTGAACTTGAGCCCTGGCCTCCCCGTCTCAGCTCACAGTGCTGAACGCCGGGCGTCGGTACCTGGGGGTGGAGGACTTGGCTGGCAAGGTCTTCGTCACCTCCGGCCTCGGCGGAATGAGTGGCGCGCAAGCCAAAGCGGCCGTCATTGTGGGCTGCATCGGGGTGATAGCAGAGGTGAGCGGGAGGCCTGGCTCCCTCCTCCTCCTTCCCTCCCTCCCTCTTCTTTCCCTCCCTCCCTTCCCTCCCTTCTCTTTTTTCCTTCCTCCTCCCTTCCCTTTCTTTCCTTCCCTCCCTCCCTCCTGGAGTTGCTCATACCCCTCCCTTCCCTTCTCTCAGGGCCTTTCCCACAAAGCCTTGCCCCCCTCACTGGGTAGACCCCAGGCCCTGCCAGCACAGACTTCCACCTGCTCCGTGCCCCTTGACCTCCCTGCTCAGGGCCCTTGACCCGGCTTCCACACAGCCACGAGTGTCTGCTCATGGACACTGCTTCCCTGGGCCCCTCCAGACCCGGGGTCCGGGTGGGGATGGAGTGTGAACAGCTCAGTCAGGAGCGGGAGGCAGGCCAGCAGCGGAGACTACCCAGGGCTCTGGCCCTCATGACAACGGTGGGTGACGGGAGGAAGGGGAAGGAGAGTAGGAAATGGTGAGCCGAGGTGTCCAGGGACACTGGTGCTACATCCATACGGCCTCATCCCGCACAGCACTGACTGGGCTGCGGGCAACAGGAGAGACCCACAGAAGATCACGAAGGGACCGGAGACGAGGCCTGAGTGCTAGAGTGCTCGTCTAGCAAGCACCAGGCCCTGACTCCAAACTCCTGTCCTGTAATAATAATGATATTAACGGTGCTCCACATGGCCAGAGAGCCTGTGCTGAGATTTAGCACGGGGTAACACAGCAGGTCCCGTACATCATTAACATCATCATCATAGTAGTTCTCCACAGGATCAGAGAGCCTGTGCTGAGATTTAGCACGGGGTAACACAGCAGCTTCTGTCCATAGCACTTTCTTTTTCTTGTTTCACCAGCAGTGATGTTGGTTCTGAAGCTCAGGACTATCAGGGGCAACATCTCTAGATTCTCCTCATGGATACAAAACAGCTGCTTAGCTCCAGCAACTCTTCCACATTGAAGTCAGGAACAACAGTGAGAAGGGAAGTGTCAGCTAGGATTATTTCCACTGGGAAGTTGTGTCTCAGAAACCCTTGCTCATTGATTAGTCTTGGGCCAGACAGATGTCCTGTCCACGGGCAGGTGACTGAAGGTGATTCATCTCCGGGGGCTGAGCACAGTGTCACCCTGAACGGATGGCCAGGGGGTGGCCCAGGCGTCCTGCAGCGCCAGCTGGGACTGCCCGCAGTGCGGTGGTCTCCGTGGTGGTGAAATGGGTGACGGGCAGCCTTGTGTCTCACGGCCCCAGGTTGACAAAGCTGCGCTTGTAAAACGCCACCAGCAGGGCTGGCTGATGGAAGTGACGGACAGCCTGGACCACTGCATTGCCAGGCTCAGGTACAGCGCCCGCTCTGCTCGGAGCAGCCACGCCTGCGTGGAAGGGGCGGGGAGCAGGACTGTCCAGGACCTGACACCTGGCTGCAGGCGGGCACACTCCTGTGCCCGCAGAGGCCTTGCGGGGGAAGCTGGCTGCAGGAGGTGGCTTTCTGAGTTCCGTTTCTCACCATTACTGCTGGCGTGCGGGAGGCTGTGGCGTTTGCTTCTTTGGTGGCTCTGGTGGGTTGGGGCCAGTGTCTTGCTGGCCATGGCTTAGGGAAGCGTGTGTGACCTGTTTGCCCACTGTGGCCGTGTCCACCTGCTCACCTGTCTGGGAAGGTCGGCCGCAGGGGTGTGCCTCCCAGCCCAGGGGCCGGCAGCGCACGGCCTGCTCCCCAAGGCACGACGCTGTCCCTGCAAGGCCGTGCTTCCTCCCACCTTCTGTGCACCAAAAGTGCTCGCGTTTCCTGCCTTTCTATTTTCCCAAATACTGTTGGCCTTCTGGGAGCCCTCCGAAGCCCCTGCCCCCAGGGAGCCCTCCGGAGGCCCAGTTCCATCCACAGCAGCCATGGCTGCAATTCCCCGATCCTCTGGGGAGGGGCGACTGGCCCCACCACGGAGTCCCAGCTAGACTATTCCATGTGGAGTGTCTCCTCTTCTGCATCCTGGGCACACTGTGGCAGCTGGCGGGCCCCACGCCCACCCACAGCCCCTCTCGGGCTCCGGAATCTGTTGGTTTGCCAGCGTTGCGCTGCCCGGCGTGGTGGGGACAGCCGGTGCAGGTGGCTGTGGACACACGTGATGGCCATCTGTTTTGTTCCCATGTCCTTCTAGGGTAGCAAGAAAAAACAAGGAGGTTCTGAGCCTTGGCTACCATGGCAACGTAGTGGATCTCTGGTAGGTGGTGGTGGAGGTTGGTGGTCTTGGGGACCTCCATGTAGGCAGATTCCCCAAGCAGAGTTCCCAGCACCAGCCCGGACCTCCCAAGACGCAAGCCCCGAGCCTGGTTCTATCCCACTGTGGACGGCTGGCATCCTGCAAGGCCTACCGCGCCACACAGGCCCCGTCCACGGGAAAGTGGCCCAAGGGTGGGAAAATGGGCGCCGACCACCAGGAGCCGGCACCCCCGGCTCTCGGCCTGCCCTGCGCTGAGCGTCCCGCTGCTGCCCCCAGGGAGCGGCTGGTCCATGAACTGGACACGACCGGGGAGCTGCTGGTGGATCTGGGGTCAGACCAGACATCCTGTCACAACCCGTTCAACGGCGGCTACTACCCCGTGCAGCTCAGCTTCTCAGAGGCCCAGAGCCTCATGGCCTCCAACCCGGCTGCCTTCAAGCGCCTGGTGCAGGAGAGGTAGGGCGGGTGGGTCCCTCGGGGTGGGCCGCCGGGCCTGGGCTCCACCTGGCATCTGGTTCTCACAAGGCTGGCTGTGTGGAGGGGGGGGGGGGGTCGTCATTGCCGAGCCGAGCCTCCTGTCAGAGGCTCCTGGGGCGGGGGCCCAGTGGACAGGGGTCACCAAAATCCTCAGCCTGCAGTCAGTGCTAGGGAGGTGCGGGCGCTGATCTGCAGCTGGCTGACCCAGCGAGCGGGTGGCCGGCCATGGAGGGCACACAGGGTTACACAGATGACTGGCAGGGCCGATCCAGGCACGCAGGGAGGGCACAGGGCACAGCAGGCCTGGCACGGCTTTCTGGCCTGGACGGAGCGGCCATGAGGCCCCGCTGAGCTGACCGGACGCTGCCCCGCAGCCTGAGGAGGCACGTGGACGCCATCAACAGGCTGGCCAGGGAGAAGCTCTTCTTTTGGGACTACGGCAACGCCTTCCTCTTGGAGGCACAGAGAGCAGGTGAGGGGGGGCTGGGGAAGGGGGTCCTCGGGACTGGGGAGGGGGCGGGGGTCCTCGGGACTGGGGAGGGGGCGGGGGTGAGGGGCTTGGGACTGGGGAGGGGGCGGGGGCTCGGGACTGGGGAGGGGGCGGGGGGCGGCTCGGGACTGGGGAGGGGGCGGGGGTGGCTAGGGACTGGGGGGGCTCGGGCCTGGGGGGGGCTCGGGCCTGGGGGGGGGCTCGGGACTGGGGACGGGTGCAGGCCAGCTGCCCTCCTGCGGCTTCATCTGGCAGCTCAGCCAGGGGTCACCCAGAGGGGGGGCCTGGGCGCCGGGCTCTCGGCCTCGGTTTCCCCGGTGCTGTCGTGTGCAGCGCGATCCCGGGTGGAACTCCCTCCGGGCTGAGCGGGCAGCGTCCCCTTGCCGGGCTGGCACGGCGCGTCGGCTCGGCTACTGTAGCAGGTTCCAAAGGCCGAGAGAGGAGCCCGGCGCCGGGCCCCCTCCAGCCTCTCGGCGGCCCCCGCGGGCTCCGGAGCGCCCGCCCGGCGACGGCAGGCCATGCCCGGGGCTTCGTGCCCCAAAGGCCCCGCGGTCCGCCCAGCCTCCGCCGGCCTCAGCCCCGCGATTCCGCGCAGGAGCGGACGTGGAGAAGAAGGGCGCCGGCAAGATGGAGTTCCGCTACCCGTCCTACGTCCAGCACATCATGGGGTGAGCGGGGCGGCCCCCAGGGCCCGGGGCGGCCTCAAGCACCGGCCCGCCCCAGAGCCACGTGCCCGGGTCCTCGAGGGCCCAGAGTGAGGGGCGCGGGGCGCAGCGGTGACAGGCCGCGTCCCCAGAGAGCAGCCCAGGCCTGCGGGCGGGCAGGCTCACCGCCTGTGATTACCCGACGTGCCCTGCGGCGGGGGCGGGGCCGGCGGGGGCGGGGCCGCGAGACCAGGTGTGGGCGGGTCCCGGCGGGGGCGGGGCCGCGAGACCAGGTGTGGGCGGGGCCGCGGGGACCCCACCATGGGCGGGGCCACGGGGACCAGCCTTGGGTGCAGGCCAATTGGGTGCAGAAGGGACCCAAGGGGGGAGGTGGCGAGGAGGTCACAGGGCACCTGCTCACAGCTGCCGTGGGGTCGAGCAGGGTGCAGGCAGCTGGCTGCAGGCAGCTGGGCTTCCTGGGGAGAGAACGCGGGGGGGGGGGGGGGGGGGGGGAGGGGGGGGGAGGAACCTGAGGCATGCGCCCAGCCGGGCCCGAGCCTGGGAGGCCCCGGGTGGCCGAATCCTTCTGTTCCGGTCGCCGCAGCACCCAAGCTGGGCTGCCTGGAAAGCAAGCCTCCTTCATCGGCCACCTGACTGTTCATCTTGAAGTGACAGCAGTTGACAAGATGTCTTCTTGTCCCTGTCCTCGCTGCCTGCTCCTGCAGGTGGAGACATACAGGCTGCAGGAGGACACGGAGAGCTGAGGGGCCCCAGAAACTGCCCCGTTCCTCCTGAGGGCGGACCACACGCTGTTCCAGCCCTAGGCGGGAGCTGTGGCCTAGCAGCCGAGCTGAGCGGCCTGTTCCCACAGGGACATATTCTCCCAGGGGTTCGGGCCTTTCCGCTGGGTGTGCACGTCGGGAGACCCCCAAGACCTGGCCGTCACCGACCAGCTGGCCACTTCTGTGCTGGAGAGGGTCATCGCGGATGGAGGTAAGGTGGACGGTGGGCTCCCGGGGTCCCCCCTGCAGGGCAGCTCGCAGATAGTGCAGATTCTGCCCGGGACCCCAGGCCCCGCCGGCATTTGTGACTGAGACACAAAGGCAGCGACCTGAGGCACCCAGGAAGATTCTGCTTGAGGGTCCTGAGCCAGGGAAGCCCTGTCCACGCTCTGCCTCACACGGCTCTTGAGGTTGCTGGTCAGGGCTGGCCGCCACCTTGCCAGTCAGCTTTCCACCCTCCCTTCAGCTGAGGAGTTCAAGGCTTCCGTCTGTAGTGGGCCGCTGACACGCCAGTGCGTCACAGTGGGAGTCTGGGGTAGAGCTAGTGGCTGACAAGGGAGAGGAAGGGCAGGGTCCCGACCCCCGTGGAGAGCGCCCTCCCCCTCCCCCCCCCCCCCCCAGGCCCTCCCTGCCTTTCATTAGACTCTGCCTCTCAAGGCTGCCACCACCTCCAATTCCCAGCACTCGGTTCTTCGGGGAACATTTCAGATCCAAACTCCAGGAGCCTCTGGAGGTGACTGAAGCCAGGGAGCCTGGGGCTCAGGCGGCTTAGCGGTCACGGCCAGCCAGGGCTGGGCAGCCCTTGACCCACTGCAGCCCTCTCTGGCCTGCCTAGCTCCCAGCCCCTGGGGGCGCCGCAACACCGGCCTTGTTTCATGCCTGTCAGCAGCACTTCCGACCAAGCTGCCCCACGCAGGCCCCCTCGAGGCTTCTGCGTACCTGCACTTCCCAGGCTCCTGTGGGGCCGTGCCGGTGCTCAGTGACTCAGTCTTCCTGTGTCCACACATCCCTGACGCCTTCTTACACCCTGCTGTTCTTCTGAATCCAGTTGATGGCATGCAGGTCACATCCTGAAGACAGTGGGGAATGTCCCAGGCTGTCCTGGCTCCCTCTCCTTTCCCAGTGGCTTCCCCTCGGGCCTGGCATGGCCACTCCCCTGTGTGGGCCCATCAGCCTTTGCTGCAAGTCCCGCCAGTACCTTTTAAGCCTGCAGCCCACTCCAGGTTCAGCGGGCTGCAGTGGGCCCCTGGAGAGAGGGCTGCAGAGCCAGGCAGAGGGTAGCCGGGCACCTAGGTGGGCAGAGTCAGGCCAAAGGAGGAAGATCCCAGAGCTCTGCTGTGTGGAATCCCGTCCAGGGCCCTCTCAGCTTCTGGGACAGCTGCCCGGCCTTCGGCAGGTGCTGCTGGGTGTCTGGCTGCAGGCGTGCCAGTGTCCAGCAGTCACACCTGCCAGTGACCGCAGCCTAGGTGTTCCCAGCACAGCTGCCCTTGGGCTGTGATGGGCCTGGGGCCCGGGGTTCATGCTGTCGGAGCAGCCATTCCGAGGTGGCTCCATGAGGCTGAGGTAACCTCGGGAGTGTAGATTCAGCCAAGGGCAGTGAAGCCACAGGCACGGAGGAGCAGGAGGTTTTTAGGTGTAAGTTTATTGAAGGATGGTTTTAGCAGTCGCAGTGCTAGCCACTGACTCACATGACTTCCAGTAAGTTACCGGTCTGTTCTCAGAGCTGGCTCCTGCAGGCTCCTCACGCCATGGCTACCACCCTGTCATTCGCCCTCAGATAGATCGAGCTTATTCCCACCTCAGGGCCATTGCACTGGCTGTGCCGTCTGCCCAGCGCTGTTCCACACAGCTCTGTGCAGCCTGCACCTCAGAATTAGGACTCACCCTGACCATCACCTTCTTGGAAGCTTTTGGTCCCGTTACCCCACCACCCCCATTTCCTCATGGCCAACTGCTGTCGGAGCTCCTTGTACTATGTCTGGCATGCACGGGGGAAAGGCATCAGGCAGTGGTCCATGAAGTAATCCCTGTATGCTGCCTTCCGGAGCTAGGGACCTTGGTGGGAAGGTGTGGTGGCCCCGAGCCTGGCTCCAGCAGCCCCTCGGGAGCGGATGCCCGAGGCTCTCTCTTCCTTCTGCCTGCAGTGAAGGAGTCTGTGAAGCTGCAGTACCTGGACAACATCCGCTGGATCCGAGAGGCTGCCAAGCACCAGCTGGTGAGGGCGGGGCCTGGGTGGGCGGGGCTGGGAGGCAGCACACAGGGCTGGGGGCTCTCCCAAGCCGGCCTGGGAGTGCCGTTCTGCTTTGGGGCCTCTGCACATTGTGTCCTGAGGGCTGCAGACCTGGACTGTGTGACATGATGGCACCCCCAGCTGGCCATCTGGGAGAGGCACTGTCACCTCCCCAAGAGCTGGAGAAAGGAGTCCGGCCCTGTAAGGGGCGGCCTGGAGAAGCCGGAGCTGGGACTGCTGGCAGGAGCTCGGGCTGTGCACGACAGTGCAGGGGTCCTCCAAAGTCACCGACAGAACCCATGAGCCGGTGCCAGTGGCTCACGCCTGTCATCCTAGCCACAGGAGGCTGAGATCTGAGGATCGTAGTTCAAAGCCAGCCCGGGCAGGAAAGTCCATGAGACTCTTATCTCCAGTGAACTGCCCAAAATCTGGAAGTGGAGCTGTGGCCCAAGTGGTAGAGTGCTAGCCTTGAGCAAAAGCAAAGCAGCTCAGGGATGATGCCCAGGCCCCGAGTTCAAAGAAAAAGGCGGGGAAGATCATACACCCACTAGGGTTTTCAGCTCTGTGAACAGGGAGTGAGATCTCCAACACGCACGTTGTGCACGTGTTTCTATCAGCAGCGTTCACCACAGCTAACATGCAAAAGCAATCCAGTGTCCATGTGAATGGAATGGCCGGAGTGGACCCTGCAGAGGGGTACACCAGACATGGTCTTGTTTAGGGGCCACTGCTGTTTGGCCTTAACAAGGAAGGGGCCTGGGAGGCCTGCTGTTGCCCAGGGCAGTAGACCGGCGGAAAGGACAAGTGCTGTGTGGTTCCCTAGAGCAGCAGCGTGCGCACGCGTGCGCTCACAGGGCTGACGAGCTGCAGGCGGGGACCTGGAGACAGAATGTCAGTTCAGGGAAGATTAAAAAGTCCTAGAAGCGATGGTTAGACGGTTGCACTGTAGTATGAACTTATTAAATGCCATCGAGCTGGGCACTGAAAACGGCCAAGATGATCGGTTCTATGTAATCGACATAGAAACAACCGGGAAACTGTGCTTGACGGTGCAGGCCTGCAGTCCCAGCCTCTCCAGAGGGCGTGGTGGAAGGGGATGTCAGCAAGGCCTGTCTCAGGAGCAAAATGCAAATGGAAGGGCGGAGGGAGGGGGGCTCCAATGTTAAGAGTGCTTGCCTTGCCTGTGTGAGACCTTTGGTTCAATCTCTAGTGAAGGTGGGGGGAGGAGGAAGAGGAGGTGAGCTCTGACGTAGTAAGCGGGTGGTAGCTACTGGGGTTTGAACTCAGTACCTTGAACTTGGTTTGACTGGTGCGCTACCACTTTAGCCACACCTCTCCTGCCCTGCTTTCTGCTACTTGTTTTGGACATGGAATCTTGTAAGCGTTTCTCCCTAGTCTGGCTTGGGAACAAGATACTGAAGATCTCAGCCTCCTGAGTAGCTAGGATCACAGATGTGAGCCACGGCACCCAGATAAACTTGGTTATTTTTTTCTTTCTTTTACCCAGTCCTGGGGCTTGAATTCAGGGCTTGGGCGCTGACTCTCTGAGCCTCTTTGTGTTCAAGGCTAGTGCTCTACCACTTGAGCCACAGCCCAGGACACCCAGCTTAAATCTAGCAATTTTATATCAGCACTTTTCCAGTCTGGACCCAGGGAATTTTTTTTTTTTTTTTGGTTGGTCGTAGGGCTTGAACTCTGGGCCTGGACACTGTCCTTGCGCTCTTCAGCTCAAGGTGAGCACTCTACCACTTGAGCCACAGCACTACTTCCAGTTTTTGAGTGGTTTATTAGAGATAAGAGTCTCATGGACTTTCCTGCCTGGGCTGGCTTTGAACCGTGATCCTCAGAACTCAGCCTCCTGAGTAGCTAGGATGACAGGCATGAGCCACCAGCGCCCGGCTTGGACCCAGGGAATTTGAGCAGCCCAGCAGCAGTGATTTTACACCTGTGGATTTCCCAAAAAAGACATGTTGCCGCAGGTGCGAGCGAAGTAGGCCTGCAACTGAAACACATAGACAGAGGAGGCCAGCTGTGTGGCAACTGGCAAGTCTGGAGGCTGGGATGTGCTGCATGTCCAGCCCACAGACGCCAGTGTGGTCCACACACAGCACCCGCTGGGGTCCACACAGACCAGACAGCCTGTGGCCCCCATGACCCTCTTCCGAGGGGCTCTCCCGGAAGAGCCTTGGGAAGTCCTCTGTCCTGCACCCCAGGCCTGTGTGGTCTGCCCCGCTGGAGTCCTCCAACAGCACCGCAGCCCCACCTCCTGTGTCGTGGCCGGGCTGGGCAGAAGCTCCCGCTGTGGTCCGCACAAGGAGGCGGGGCAGAACTCCGGCTAACGGTGACTCAGACCCTGTGCCTGTCTCTGTTATCAGTGTTCTCGGCCATGTTGCATGGCTACACAACTGGACTGGCCATCAGGCCGCACACAGGGCCTTGGGGCCCCTGCGTGACATCCCCACATCACCAACAGCCCCCCTTCCTTCCGCAGGTGGTGGGCTCCCAGGCCAGGATCTTGTACTCAGACCAGAAAGGCCGCATAGCCATTGCTGTGGCCATTAACCAGGCCATCGCCAGTGGGGCGATCAAGGTGACGTGTCCTGTGCCTGTGTCCTCTCCCCGGCTGCTGCTCATCATCCAGGCCTGGCCCTGAGGCCCCCCGCCCGAGCCGCTGCCCTATCAACCAGCCCACCCTCCCTGGCCTCAGTAGCCTGGTGTCCAGGGAGCGTTTGCCTTCCCCTGAGTGCCTCTGGCCTCAGGGAAACAGAAGAGCCTCAGCCTCTGTGGAGCAGATGGGCAGAGGGACTCAGAGATGAGCCAGGCTGGGACCCAGCCCCTGCTTGGGAAATGAGGGGGGACGGCAGCCCTGAGAGAAGGAAGGGAAGGAGGTGGGGAGGGGCTGGCAGTGAACTCCCCCCCCCCCCCCGTCTCTGAGTGTGGGTCATAGTAAGGGGTACCAGTGTTCCTTTCTCTGTAACTTTGGGCAGGTCAGATATCTGCTCCAAGCCTCAGTTTCCCTATCTGTGAGAGGAAGATTGTATTAGAACCTCAGTGCGTGGGTATGAGGATGAAATGCGGTGTCTCTACAAAGCCCTGTCACCCAGATCTTTTTAGTTACCTTTCCAATCTATGGCACACTTCCCTGCCACTGAAGGGCATGGGACCTTGGGTGGCCTGCCAGGCACAGCCACCCTGCCCTTCCGTCTCAGAGGTTTGGGCCACACCGCGCTCACTAGCTGGCACCTCTCTGTTCAGAAGCACCTACAACGTTCACAGTCAGACTCGGCGTGGCTGCTTCTCCCACGTGATATCTCTGTCCTCAGAGACTCTCAACACAAAAAGGCTCTCAGCAATGACCAAGGCCCAGAGAGGGGAGGTGACCTGCCCCAGGCCACACAGCCATGCCCACCAGCCTTCCCCCTCCCGGGGCTCTCTGCCAGCCCCTGCTCTCACCACACAGGCTCGGGGGCCAGCGAGAAGCCCAGTTCTGGTACAGCGTGTGTGGGGTTACATCTCTGCTTCCCTGTTAACAAGCTGTGTGCGGCAGATCAAGTCCCCAGCCTTGCTGTGTGTCAGTTTTCGTGGTTGGAAGGGGTGTGGTAGCCGTGCTGTTGGGATGAGGGGTGTGGAGGCGGTGCGTGGACAGGGCCCAGCGCACCGGCACTGTCGGGCTCAGGGGAGTGTTCGTAGCTCCGGGGGACAGCAGAAGTGGCTGTTTCTTTGGGAGGGGTCTGTTTTCAAGAGCAGAGTCTGCCTGGCTCCTGAAGCGGCCCCCTTGTGCCCCGCCCCTGCTGGGCAGCCCCGGTGGATGCCGGCTGATGGACACTGCCCCACCTGCAGGCGCCGGTTGTCCTGAGCCGCGACCATCACGACGTGAGCGGCACTGACAGCCCCTTCCGGGAGACCTCCAATATCCACGACGGCTCTGCCTTCTGCGCAGGTGAGGAGAGCCCGCAAGTCCTGCCGAGCAGCCATGCTGGGACCTGGGTTCTCTAGTGGAGTCACGCAGAACCTTTCCTTTTCAATCATCCCTGCCTGCGAGGCTTAGGGAAGTGGTGTCTGGCTTCCTGCAGCTCCCAGAACCACAGCCCGCCTCATTCTTTCGCTCTTCTGCCTGTGGGTGCTCTTAGCTGGTGCCCTGCGTGGAAGAGTTCACCAGGGGAAGAGGTGATGGGCTGTGGGCAGCTGCCAGCTCCCCCTGCTCCAGCCTGGGTTCTTCTAGCACACGCCATTGCTGTTTCTGGAGTTTCCTGTCTGTTTCTGTCCCCGTCTCTGGAGTCTCCAGTCCCTGCCCCGCTCTGCAGGCTGCTGCACTGTCCTGAGCAGTGCGGTGCCGGGCCCACCCGGCACAGGGAACTATGGGTAATGGGCTCCTGTCTCTGCAGACATGGCTGTGCAGAACTTCGTGGGAGATGCCTGTCGAGGAGCCACCTGGGTGGCACTTCACAATGGAGGAGGTGTGGGCTGGTAAGGAGCTGCCAGGGGGCAGCCGGGCTGGGGAGGAAGTCTTGGGGATTCTGTGGGGGCAGGGCCGGGCCTGGGGCCGTGGCAGCTAGCCCACTGGCAAGAGGGCTGGAGGGAGGGGTGCAGGAGTCACCTGGCACAGGGCACTCTGGCCTCCTGGCGGGAACCAGCCCTATGGATGGTCCAGACGGGACCCGAAGCGGGAGAGCTGGACAGGCCTGTGAGGTCAGAGACAGGAGTCCAGGCACACATTCAAGGTGAGGTTCGGGGTGGAGCAGTTCCCCCAGGGAGGAGCCAGAGGCTGAGGGTCCCCGCAGTGCTGACAGAACGTCCCCGAAGGCAGAACCCTGAGCAAAGGCCCAGGCCGGACGCAGCATAACCTATCGAGACAGGCCCCGGCGGGGATGGAGGCCCCGACTCACGGAGAAGGAAGGCCAGGGCAAGTGCAGAAAGCAGGCTAGCAAGGACGTCCCTGAAGCTCCAGTCCCATCTGCTCAGAGAAGAAGGAAAAGACAGCACGCGGAAGCCAGCTGGAGAGCCAGCGGCACTCAGAAATGCACTGATCACAAAATGAGAAACACTGAAAACAGGTCAGGTAGTAGGAAGGACCAAGTAGAAGGGAGGGGCTAGCAGGACACGGGTCACCCAGGCAACGTCAGGAGGAGAAGCAACCGGACTGGGTGGCCTTAGAGACAGTGTGGTGGGAAGGGAGCCTAGCCTGGTGCGGGCCTTGGGCTGGAGCTGGGAGGCTCCCCCGCCAGGCCCATGCACCCTGGTACACACGCTGCGGGCCGCAGAGGCCGGCATGACGTGGCTGCCCCTCTCGGATGCCTCCCCAGGCCACCACCACGCGGGGTATGTGGTAGGGGAGAGGTGTGACCTGGGATCCCGTCTGCCTTGTACAGGGGTGAGGTGATCAACGGGGGATTTGGCCTGGTGCTGGACGGGACCCCTGAGGCCGAGGAGAAAGCCCGGATGATGCTCAGCTGGGACGTCTCCAATGGCGTAAGTCGCCCGGGCAGCTCCAGCTCCCGCTGCGCCTCCATGGCCGTCCCTGTCCACGGCAGCCCTGGGCCGCGGTTCCACACCCTGCAGGGGTGAGGTGCCAAGACCACCATCTAGAACTACTAGATGGAGGGGAGGGATGGGGGAGGGACAAGCCAGAGAGGCATTTTGAAGGTTGATTCTTGAGAGCAGAGAGGAAAGGGCTTCAGGTGACCCCAGTTCCTGGCGGCTGGGTCATCGGTGGAGATTATGAAGGGGTCAGTGGCCAGTTCCAGATCAAGAACAGGTTGCATCAGGGAAGGTTGAGAAAGGATGGGCACACAGAGAGGAGGCCCCTGTGCCCGAGGGCAGAGGACAGGGAGTTTGGGGTGAAACCCGTGGTGGCACTGACCCCAGCTGCTGCACGCCCCCTCCCCCAGGTGGCCCGTCGCTGCTGGTCTGGGAACTCAAAGGCCTATGACATCATCTGTCAGACCATGAGGGAGAACAGCCGTTTGGTGGTGACTCTCCCGCACCAGGTGGCCGATGAGCACCTGCTCCAGCGGGCCCTGCAGCCGTGAGAGGAAGCGGGTCCTCCCCTCCCTCCTCCTCGCCCCTCTCCCCTCAGCCATCCTCAGCCTGCTAGCTACAGCACACCTCTGGCCTCTACACACACACTTTCCATGGCCCTCAGAGTGCCTGGACAGGGTGCGTTGCTAGCCTGCTCTGTGCAGGGCCAAGGTCTCCAGCCAGCCATGCAGAGGACTTGCTACAGCAGGGCCCAATCCAGGGGGAGCCTCGACCTCACGTGGAGTCAGGCCTGAGAGAGGAGAGGGAGGGGCTGGGGGCTGAAGGGGGGGCGGAGGGCCAGGGGGGCTACTGCTTTCCTGTCCTGAGCGACCTGTGACCCCGTTTGCAGATTTTAGGCTCTCTTAGTGAGACTGGAAGCCTCGAATAAAACATTGGAGTCCAACAATAGAGTGGAGTGGCTGTACTAGTAAGCTCTGCGCTATCGTAACAAAACACCTGAGGCAGTCATGAGGAGAAACCGCACGTTCCAGTGGAGGCTGGGCAGCCTCTGGGACTCAGTGCCTGGCACAGCAAGCGGAAGCAAAGGGAAGGCAGGCACACCAGGGGCCATGTACCGGTCACTGCCCCTCCTCCACTTCCCATCTGCCCCTCCTCCACTTCCCATCACCTCCTGTTGGAGATGTGGCTGCCTTTCAAGAGCTCTCTTCCAGGCATAGGGGCCAGAACCTGCCTTTTGGAATCCCAATGTGTTTCTTGCTTAAAGATTTTTCTAAGTCAGAAAGTAAGTGTGGAGCCAGACAGTCCTTCGTGTTCTCCCAACCCTGCAGGCCAAGGTGCCTGGGGGCACGGGCTCTGGGCCTCAGTTTCCTAATCTGTACAAGAGTTAATACCGGAGTCCCCACCGAGAGAAGGCTGTGGGTCTTCATCCTTGCCAGGGGCCACAGGAGGCTCCAGGGAGCACCCCATCACTCAGAACCTCAACCTCTGAGGGGGACTGTCCACATCGCCCTCCAAGATCGTCGTGGTAAAAAACACAACATGAAGTTGTCCACCATGACCACTCTCCAGGGGCAGTGGACACATGCACAGGCTGCGCCGTCCCCAGGACCCGCGCCAGACCTTCCCCTTCCCGAGGGGAAACTGTCCCCACCAAACACCACCCCCCACTGAGCGCCACCTCCCCCACTGAATGCCACCCCCCACTGAGCGCCAACCCCCCCCCACTGAGCACCACCGCCCACTGAATGCCACCCCCCCTAAGTGCCACCCCCACTGAATGCCACCCCCACTGAGCACCCCCCACTGAATGCCACCCCCACTGAGCACCACCCGCCACTGAATGGTACCCCCAGTAAACGCTAATCCCACACTGAGCGCCACCCCCCCACACTAGCACCAACCCCCCCACTAAGCGCCACCCCCCCCACTGAGCGCCACCCCCCCCCCACTGAGCGCCACCCCCAGCACCACCACACGTCGGGGTGTCCAGGGACCTCACACATCAGTTCCCTTTAGCCCCTGGCTGCTTCCCCTCCTGACAGGGGCCCGGGCTCCTCCGCAGGCAGAGGGGCAGGGCGGGCCGGACGCGCGTGCAGAAGCAGCCGGGTGGAGGGAGTCCGGATCCCACCCGGGGGCCGGGGCGGGCGCGAAGGCCGGGGGCCGAGGGCAGCTGGCGGTCTGCAGGGGACCCGGCCGGCCTGACGTCAGGCCCGGGGACGCCGGAGGGGTCGGCCTCACGGCCCCCGCCACGCACTCGCCCGCTGTATGTACCCCGGTCCTCTCCAGACCAAGCACTAGGCCATCGCAGTCCGCTAGCCCGGCTGGAAGCAAAAGTGAGACGCGGAGAGGGCCGAGCCTGCTTTCCACGCTGGCAGCCGGGCTTCAGAGCCAAGCTCGCGCTCAGCGCGCGGAAGTGCGCAGGCCCCGCCCCCGCCGCGCGGCCCCGCCCCCGGCCCCGCCCCGCCCTCCAACCCAGTCTCTCGTCCCCGCGGCCATGGCCACTCCGAGCAGCCCGTTCCCTCCTGCCCCGCCCCCGGGCCCGCCCCGCCCAGCAGGCCTCGCGCGGCCCGGCCCGTCCACAGCGAGGGCTCCTCTCGGAGCCCCGCCCCGCGCCCCGCCCCCGCGGTGACGAGCCCGCGGCGGCCACGCGGCGTCGCGCGCACGCCTGGGAGGGGCGGGCCGCGCGTCTTCCCAGGCGGCGGCTCGGCGGCCGCGGCCCGGACAAGATGGACCTCCCGGCGCTGCTCGCCGCCCCGACCGCGCGCGGAGACCAACATGGCGGCGGCGCCCCGGGCCGGCCTCGCCGGGGCGCGGGGCCGCCCCTCAGCGCGAGCCCCGCGCGCCGTCGCCTGCTGCTCCTGGGCGACCCGGAAGATGGCGGGCCCGAGCCGGGGCGCGGGGGCCCCCCCGGGCCGCGGCGTGAAGAGGGCGTCGCGCCCGGCGCGCCGGCCCCGGAGGACGGCGGCGACTCCTTCGTGGTGCTGCTGGAGGTGGCGCGCGGGCCCGCCGAGGCCCCCGGGCGGCGGGAGCCCGGGCCCGGCCCCGGCGCGAGCCCCGCGGGCCTCCCCGCGCCCGCGCCCCGCGGCCCGGCCGCCGCCCCCGGCGCGGCCCTGGCGGGCGCCGTCGCCCTGCACGACCGGGACCTGCTGGTGCGCTTCGACCGCGGCGTGCTCACGCTGGCCGCCGCGCCGCCGCCCGCGCGCAGCCCGCGCGCCCCGCCGCGCCCCGCCGCCGCCGGCCCCGCCGCCGCCGCCGCCCGCCGCGGGCCCGGGGCGCCCGGCTACCGCTGCCCCGAGCCGCAGTGCGCGCTGGCCTTCGCCCGGAAGCACCAGCTGCAGGTGCACCTGCTGACGCACGGCGGGCTGCGCGGCCGGCGGCCCTTCAAGTGCCCGCTGGACGGCTGCGGCTGGGCCTTCACCACCTCGTACAAGCTCAAGCGCCACCTGCAGTCGCACGACAAGCTGCGGCCCTTCGGCTGCCCGGCGGGCGGCTGCGGCAAGAAGTTCACCACGGTCTACAACCTGAAGGCGCACATGAGGGGCCACGAGCAGGAGAGCCTGTTCAAGTGCGAGGTGTGCGCCGAGCGCTTCCCCACGCACGCCAAGCTCAGCTCGCACCAGCGCAGCCACTTCGAGCCCGAGCGCCCCTACAAGTGTGACTTTCCGGGTAACGCGGGGGGCGGGCCCGGGGCGGGCGGGGGGGACCCGGCGCCCCGCGCGGCGAGCTCACGTTCGTGGACCTCGAGTCGTGTCGTGAGTCGGCGTGGACGTACTCGGCGGCCGCGCGTTGGTGGGGTCCACGCTCGGCCTCGCAGGCCCCTGACGACCCGGGGCGCGGGGCACCCGATGGTCAGGAGCCCTTTCCGCCTCGCTCTGGTCGGCTTCGTAGTTTCCAGGAGTTTTTAAGCCGTACCCTTGTCTAGAGCTTAAACCTCTTTTTCGTCTCACAGATGGAGATTCGAGGCTAGATTAGTGTGGATAAAGTAACCCACTGCCCGGTGGGTTTTTGTCGGCCGAGTTGAGTAGGCTGTTGGGGTGGGGGTTGAGAGCCCCACCCAGCGTGGCCCCACGCCCCGGCGTCGGCACTCAGAAGGCCGAGTTCCCTCTGAGACTGGCAAGGCAGGAGAGTCCAGAGGAGGCAGCGGAGGACGGGCCGGGAGGAGTGGGGTGGGGGCCACCGTGGATTGGCTAGAGGACCTTCGCTCATTAAAACGCACCTGAGTGCCTACAGCATGTCATACAAGCCTCTCCTAATAATGTGAGTCATCAGGTGCTCAAACACAGCATTTTGAGAGTAACTCGAAAAACATCAACAGATTCTAATATTTTCTTCTCCCTTGTGGGTGGATTGTGTGGCTCTGGAGAGCACTGGCCTCTGCCTGCAGGCCTTTTCTAGTCAGCTTGTGAGTCTGGTAGGAAGAGTATCGTCTTCTCTGGCAAAGTGGAGGATCCAGTCATGAGGTGTGTTAGCCACTGGTGCAGCTGGTAGAGAAGCTGGAGAGGAGCAGGTGATGCAGTAAATGGCCCAGCTTGAGTTTTTGGACAGCCTGAGCCAGGGAGTAGCAGTGGGATGGGTGGTGGACTTACAGGTAGAAGAAATCACAGAGGTAGGGTGAGAAGGCCTGGGTACCTGGGGGAAGGGGTGTTAAGGCTAGGAGTGTGGTTGTTCAGTTCACATGACCAATTGTGTAAACACACAAAGGCCCAAAATAGGAAAGGGGTAGGGAGGGCAGATTGAAGCCAGAGAGGATAACTTTAGTGATTTAGAAAAATCACCATTTCTCCACAGAATGCTGTCCTCCCTCCAGGGGGAGAGTAGGTTCTTTGCAGTGCTGTGCACTGTATTTCTGCATGGTGGTTCATGGGCCCCCTGATAACATGGAAGGCTCCTTTCAGCCTGATTTTCCACATTGCCTGAGCACTGATTGTCGTCATCAAAGGAGAAGTGTTAGTATGGACAACCAGCTGGAGTATAGGTGACCCAGTAGGAGCTGAGTTTGGAGGTGAAGGAAATGCTAGGTGGGTGACGATGACAGACCTGAGGAAACAGAAGCCAGCTGGGTAGGATGTGAGGCAGTCCATTTCTGAGGCTGTCGGAGGAGATTGAAGTGTAGGGAATGCAGCATCACTCAAAAGGTTAGGATGCTTCGCGCCTGTTTACAGCTGAACTGTACCAGACAAAATTTTGTTCTTGTAGTATTTTATTTCCCTCCTGGGGTTTTCTTGGTTTTCACAAACAGCATTGACATTTACTTTATGAAAAATCCACTTAACGTGTGTGAGGCCAGCCAAGCGGATGGCTGAGACTGGGGCAACGCTTGGCCCCATGCTCCCTCCCGAGTTAGTCACCTTGCAAGGGGTGGCCTGTGTGCACCCCAGGCCTCACAGCCGTTCCCGCTTGGCTATTACAGAGACCTTTTAGAGAGGACTCATGTCCTGGGTTGTGACTAGCATTGACTGCTTTGATTTTTGTCTTCCGGTGAGCAGAGTTTGTGCTTCCTCCATTCAGGCTGTGAGAAGACGTTCATCACAGTGAGTGCCCTGTTCTCCCATAACCGAGCTCACTTCAGGGAACAAGAGCTCTTTTCCTGCTCCTTCCCCGGATGCAGCAAACAGTATGACAAGGCCTGTAGAC